AGACTTGTATATATTGATTTAAAAATATATATATATATATATATATATATATATATATATCATAAAACACTATAAAACAGTTTCTCACACAAATTTAAATTTAAATTTATCAGCTATTCACACTTGATATAGAAATCAACTTTATCGTGCAACATTTTTTATTAAACAAAATTAACGAGCATTAATCTGATCTTATGATATTAAAGTAACTTGAGTAATGAACATATAAAACATGGATATACTAATCATTTCTAAAGAGTTTAGAATCGATTGTTTTGAGACTTTTATGAATATTTTATAGATGGTGAATAAAATAAAATTTGGAATGATTAACACCTACAATAAGTTGCAAGATTTTCTGGAAATTCATGGTTGTGTAGTTTGAGCTTACATTTAACATCGTAATTGGAGATCGGTATCATTGTTTTCAAAAGACTATGTTTATTTATTAACCGGTGACTTATTGATCTACGACCTATTAGTTAATGTATATATATTCCTCTATGAAATATTAGTTAACAATGATGATATATGAAATATATCATAATTAGAGTGATACACGTATAATAAAGATTATATAATAATTTATGTAATATTGTTTTTATGTATATTTTTTTCATTATTAATAATATCTCTTTATAACAAATAAAGTGATAGAAAGGGATACACGTAAAACTGATATACATTGTTATCCAATTTTCGTTCGTAGCATTACTCAATAGTTACATGTTTGAAAAGGAAGATGACCGGATGGATGTACGGATATCTTATTAGTTTTTAATGAAAAGTTAAAATGCTTATATAGAAATAATTAATTAAAATCTCATCGAAACAATCGTAAAAGGAATTAATTAATGTTGGGAGAAGTGCAGTTCTTGCGTACCTGAGAAATTTGCCTCATGACTGATTTCAAATGTCTCTTCTACTCTTAAAACTGTATAGAAGCATATTAGGACAGTATTTTTAAATTAAAAATGGTAAGAATAAGTGTTGAAAAAACTATAGAAAAAATAATAATAATTTGTGTTAGCCATTGGGTAAGAAAATTGCGGAAACTTACAATTGTAAATGAAGTTATGTAGAAATCCAAATTGGCAGCCACTTAAGAATGCATAAGGCATTTTAGCCAATGCACGCAAGGCAAGAAAGACGTCCGGTAAGGACTCAGGGGGCAGTTGATCCAGCTCCAGGTATAATTCAAGTAATCCCAGAGCCACATCTACCATGCATTAATTTCAGTATTAGAGTAACTTTCTTCTCAATAATATAAAGGGAAATGATACGTAAACAAGTAAATGTTGAGAGGAAGAGAGGTAATCCTTCAAATTAATGTTCTATAAATTGTTGTGTGGTTTACTCACCCAATATTTCCTCTCTGATACATCGTTCAAGCAGCAGAACTCGCTTGTCGTAATCTTGTTCGTTCAGCACTTTGTAGGGAGTTTTCGAGAACAGATAGCGAGTCATTCGTTTATGTCCCCTGTCAGCAGCGAGAAGAAGAGGGATTTCACCGTCGTTGTTGGCTATAGCAAGCAGATTCTGGCGGATCCGGCCGCCCTTTTTATCCTCTACCATGCACTCTGCTACTTCCGTCTTGCCAGTAAGATAAGCAGCAAGAGCAAGAGCAGTATTACCCATGTTGTCATGCATTTTTAATAATATATCTTCCCCTTCTCTAACTAAAACCTCAACAACCTTCACGTGACCTGCGATTGCTGCTACGTGAAGAACCGTCCTCCTATCTGAATCCGACGTCAAAAATAACGCCCTCCTTCCCTCTGCTAATGAGAGGAATAACTCCACACCTTTCTCATCTCCTTCCTCCACGCACTTGTACAGTTTTATACAGTGACGAACGTTATCGCCTACCCTACCTGCATGGCATTCACATTTTTTAAAATAAATATTGTCTAGCTACTACAAGCATGTACTGATGTAGAGCAGTAGAGGTCCTAATCTAGTCCAAGTAGTCACACTTTTAATTCTAGCTTCTTGTTTTAAAAATTTGAATTAATAAATAGATATGAGAATTGCAAGTAGCATTAAACATGTACCTTGCTCAATATCTGGTGTGGCTTCTAACTCAGAACCGTAACGCCAGGCCAAAAAATTCCAAGCCTCTTTCGCGGTATTCAAATGACTGATCTCATCTAAAATCTTTGATCCACATGCTGATTGAATGATACACAAAGCCAATTCATTATTATCGATTTCATTGCTACTCCCAGCACCAACATTTGTCGAAACAGAATCACTCTCAGTCTGGACAACAGTCCAAAGTTTTTGCATCATCAGATAGATTTTCATTTGATTTTTCCATCTGTCATAGTTGTCTTTTGTGAGTACTTGAACTATTCCCCAGGGTGTGTCTTTCATTACACTTTTTTCACAGTCTGAAGAAATAAATCAAATTATATATGGGCCAAAGCCGAACAGATCTTTCTAAGTTTGTCCACTGCAACTTAGAAAGATTCGTGGACTGGTAATTAAATCCACTCAAAACTTTTTTGGTGAGAGATTCATGCCTGGGTATTCAGTTTGGTTGGTTCAAAAGGGAGGTAGGGAGGAATACGCAGGTCTCGCGAACCTATATTTATGCTTTTAACCTAAGAAAATGGGTATTTGAAATATTAGAATTTTAATTATAAGCATGTCAAATAAATATTATTATCTCCGTTCCATACATAATTATTAATTCATAAAAATTAAGAAAGTAGTTAATTTTTAGTTGATAAATGATATCCTTTGAACTTATATAAAAAAAAAATATATTTAAAACTTTTAGATTGAAATATAAATAGATTTTATTGAAGTTAACCTTATTTAATATTTTTAATCTAAAATTATTCTCATATTAATAAATAGGAACATTCTCTATTATGAATGTGGCTAAAGATATTTTAAGAAATATAATACATATTTCATGATAAATTATAAAAGTTAAATATATTTAATAAAAAAATTTAATATATGAAAAATTAATTTTATTTGTTTATATATAAGTCTAAGGAATACTCCTTCTAAACTTATATATATATATATATATATATATAAATGCTTAAATTTTTTTTGATCGAATTATAAGAAGTTTAAATTAATTTAATCTTTTTTAATATTTTCCATTCAAACACACTCCTATAGTAATATTTTAGGAAATGTAATATATATTTTCTTATATATAATATATGAAAAACTAGTTTTATCTTTTTATATATAATTCTTATATATTATTAGTGAATTAGAATTAAGGATGGCAAACATACTCATACCCGCGGGTAATACCTAAACTCGTCGCAACTTTGACAGAGAAATACTCACTTTCAATTTAATTATATTAAAAAATTTAATATTTTTTATGTGTAATTATTTATTATAATATAAGATAAAGAAATAACTTAATTATAATTATAATATAATAATAATAAAAATTTAAAAATATCATTTTTTTTACAAAAAATTAAAAATTAAAAAATTGACGGGTACGGATATACCTAATACCCGATGGAAACAGGGATGAGGATGAAAATCTATACCCGACGGGTATGGGGACAGGGACGGAGATGGGTTTAACTCGCGGGGACGGGAACGGGTATCATGAAACCCGTACCCGACCCGCCCCGTTGTCATCCCTAATTCGAACACATGTTTATATTATTATTTATCTTAATTAATATTTTTTTAATCAATTGGAGTGCATGTTGTTTAAAAAATCTATGATTAATATATTTTATTAAATTAAAAAATACATTTTAAGTAAAAATATTTTAATTTAAAAATAATTAATATATAAAATAATATGAATTGAGTTAAAGAAAAAATTAATTATTTTAATTTGACTCTTATAATTTACAATTTTATTTCATCCTCAAATACACGTGGTATTAGAATTTTGGAATCATGGATTAATACCAACCTGTGATGGTTAATCCTTTGGCATTTTCAGTCAAATAATAATAATAAATAAATAAATATTTTGGTAATTAATTTCCGGACCTAATTGTAATATTTTTTTTTAATCTAAAAAAAATGGGAGGAAACATAAAGAGGGTTGAATTATTAGGACAACTGGAGGAGCAACCACCGTCTTTATTAGTATAAGGTTACCATAGAATTTCTCTTATATAAAAAATCTAGGAAACCCTGACTGAACTTCGGTATCCCGCTCTCCTGAATCCTGATCAATGGCGGCATCTACTTACCACAAAGAAGACATTAAAAATATAATCCTGGAAATACGTGAAGTGTTCAAAGAGAATTCCTCAGAATTGCAGGAACCTGAGGGGAAGATCCTAAATGAGATCAACAATAGCGACGTGAAAGCCCTAGTTATTTTGAAGCAACAGCTTTGGAACGTGCTGACTTCTGTGGAAAAGTTGAAAAGCAAACCCTCCTCAAACATTTTCCTCAAAGTTGAAAAGCTGACTTCTAAAAAACAGCTCAACAATGCTGAAAAAAAACAAGTTCGGGAGGACCTTGAACGCGTTGCAAGCAAGGCAAAGTATCTGAACGAGCAGGCGAGCAAGAAGGGATCGGTGCCTGACGATGTTAAAGAATTGATTGGGAGAGAAAAGGAAATGGAGGAGATTATAGATCAACTCATGCTATGGAGCAGAAGCGAAGATAATGGGGAAAGTCCTGTTCCTGTGATTGCCATTTCAGGGCTTGCAGGAATAGGAAAGACAAAACTTGTCGACGATGTCTGCCAGGATCAGAAAGTCCAAGAGCAGGTTGGCTCGCAGGTCCGTGTCCCTGGTACCAACTACAACACCTTTGATGCAGACTCCATTGCAAAACAAATCATCAACTCAGCACCATCTCCATCACCCACGACAAAAACTCTCAACATACTTGTAATTCTGGATGATTGGAGAGCTGAGATCAAAGACAATGATGTGAAGATGTTGCACGACAAGGTAAAGGAGCATGGGAAGGCGTCGCAGGTGTTAAAGAAGGTTGATCCACGTGTTACAGCTATCGTGATAACTACACGTAGCTGTCTTGTGGTAAGGGAAATTGCTGCTAGCCCGATTATGCAATATGATTTGCAGGGACTTAATGAAAAGCAAAGCGTGTTTTTGCTTAAGAAAGCTCTCGGAAGAGGTGCATGTGATGATAATGCGAGCATCACAAAGATTGTGGGGCAGTGTAGAGGCGTCCCTCTAGCCATAATAGCCATGGCAAAATGGCTCCAGTCTCCTCGTTCCGAATATTTGATGCCAGTGGAGCAACTGATATGCTCCTATTACGACAAGGTGTACGAAGAAGGGTTTCCCTACAAATGCTTCCCATATTTTTCCTTGTTTCCTCAGGATTTCTTGTTTGATGCTGAGAGGTTAATTCATCTCTGGATGGCAGAAGGGTTTCTTGGCTCACCAGAACCAGAAACAGGCCGTGGATATTTGAGGGACTTCGTTGGGAGATCTATGTTTCAAGACGTGAAGGTAGACGAGTTTGGCGAAGTGAGAAGCTTCAAATTGCACCCGCTAATGCATGACATAGCAAGATTCGTGGCCGATAGGGAGATAATCACCATGGATCCAATCGGGCACAAGGTTCACGGCAAAGTCAAGAGAGCCTCGTTTGATTTGAGCTTAAACTTTTCACGTGGAATTCCACGTCCCCTTTATGACAAGGCAAAATCATCACTAGCAAGCCTTCTTTTCTTCGCCAACCCAGAGTCACGATTTCCTATGCAGCTAGATATGAGCACTTCAATGCTTGAAAATATCTTCAAGAGCTTCAAGAAGCTGCGCGTGTTGGATCTCCGTGACTTGGAGATCGGGACGGTGCCAAGCTCTATTGGGGACCTGAAGGACTTAGAGTATCTGGATCTGTCCCAGAATAATATTATGGAGAAGCTCCCTAATAACATCACCAAGCTTTTCAAGTTACAGACGTTGAAACTGTTTTGTTGTTACTCGCTCAAAGAATTGCCCAAGGACTTTGAGAATCTAAAGCAACTCAAGCATCTTGACATTGAAGGATGCCTGAGTCTCACTCACATGCCTCCAAAAATGGGAAAGCTGACTTCTCTGCAGACATTGTCCGCTTTTGTAGCTAACAAGGACGACCCCAAGGGAGGCCTTGAGGAACTCCTAAATCTCAACAAATTGAGAGGACACTTGGAAATTTTGTATCTGGACCGGGTGCAGCAATTTGGTAATAGTAAGTCGGGATGCAGACAAAAAATTGGTGTTCAGAGCCTGACACTAAGATGGGATCTCAAGATTGATCAAGGGAAAATACAACACCATCTGTTACCTGAAGATTTCCTTATGTCCCATTTTGAGCTGCGAGTATTAATCCTTATGGGCTACAGAGTTCCCGACCTTTCTTTGTTCAAATCCACTTCCACCCAATTCGAACACCTTGTAAAGTTAAGCTTGCAGGACTGTCAATGCGAATACATCTCACAAGAGGATGCACTCCCACAACAGCTCAAGACCCTCGAACTTATAAGGTTAGATAATCTCGAATACGTTGCACGAAACTGTGACAAAGATGCAGCTTTCTATAAAACCCTGGTGGAGCTCACAGTCTGGGGTTGCCCTAAACTCAAAAGTTGGTGGCCAGAGGTGAAAGAGGTAAGCGATAGGCCGGTCTTTGCTAGCATTTCAAAGCTACATGTCCATCATTGCCCTGACCTAACGTGCATGCCTCTCTATCCTCGTCTTGATATGGTCCCGAAGGATTCTAACAGTTTTGGTAAAGAGCTGGTCCTTGAGGAATCCAGCTTAAATCTGCTACTGGATACATTAAGTAAGGGAACTGGTGCAAGAGACTCCATTCCCCTTGAGAATTTTCACATTCAAAATTGCAATCATTTAAAGAATCTGTGCGATGCTTTCCAGCATCTGAGTTCACTCCAACGTCTTACGATTGAAAACTGCGCCGATATTCACCTTTGCGGCCCAAACAATCAATGGAATGGTCTAAAAAGCCTCCGTTTTCTCACGATAAGGGAAATTCCAATTCTCAGCTCCCTTTCATTTGGGGACAGCGTTACCACTCTGCGAGAACTCACCGTTCATAACTGTGAGGGGTTAACTTCCATTTCGGATAGCATTGGCAAACTCACCTCACTTCGGAGACTGGAGATTTCTAAATGCAACAAGTTGAAGTCGCTGCCCAAAGAAATGGAAAATCTCAAGTCTCTAAAAACCTTGCTCATTTTGAACTGCAAATTGTTACTGTCGAGGTGTCAACAAGAAACCGGCCGGCGACGATTGGCCACAAATTAGTCACGTTGAACATATCCAAGTGAAGTAAACAATTTTCAAGCGTGTTCTTCCTTGGGTAAGTACTCATTCAACTCTCATCACTGCCACTAGTGAACGTATCCAAGTTTGGATTGGAAAATGCACAAATTAACCTCTTCAAAGTATACTCATTCAACTCACCATAATTATTTGACATTTCGTGTAACACCATCCAGCTCGTTTATTATTATATTTTTAGGGTTTACGGCACTTGCCACTAAACTAAAATTATTTTATTATATTTGTTTGTCAGTTCATTCTAGTTTTATGATTTGTTCTTGGTACTTATTCTGCGCTATTACGTTGTCTCGTGTTCAGGTTTTCTCAAGGGCCAAGATGATGATAGATGTGGCCATGCACGCTGAATTATGTGCTACACCTGATATAAGAAAATGAAGTGATTCCTTCCGAGAGATCGAAACCACGAATTTTCTTTTAGCACTGACTTGTTCTATCTTTTTGTAAATTTGTTGACCTTGTTTCTGCTCATGTGTAAAATCTGTTATTTTCAGTGGATTTTTAGTGATCCTATTTTAGTATGTGTGGATCTGTCGTTCTTTTATCGTATCATATTTATCTTTCCATTTGCTATTGTTGTTTTCCTTCAAGAATTAAAGCGGCCAAGTGCCCTATATAAAATCTTCAGTGATTTAATGTATCATAGAATCTAATATTGGTTCTTTTTACGTTTCAATTTCGAAATAACTCCTCCAAATAACATGTAATGCCTGCGCTTTCTCCCTCCACCAAATTAAACTCATAGCTATCTCAGTTTTTAACATAAATTTTACAAAAACCACAACATTCCAAAATCTTGTCCAAATACTAGTGTAGCACAATATACTTTCCGAGACTTTAGAATTATACAAATGCTAATCAGCAAATACCTTTTTATTATAGACTTTTTTTTTCCTATAGTTACTTCAACTTTACTTTTTTGTTATTAAAAAACATTTCATGTTAATCTTGTACTTATTATTTTCGTTTTCTATTAGCCTTTGTCTCGTGTTGTTACATGAATTAAAAAGTAAAGATTATAAAATATTTATAACGACTAAAAGGGAATAAAAAAAAGGTATTTATTGGAAAAAAACTAAAATGTCTATATATAT